AAAGAGGCACATATGTGGTCTCTCAGGAGGGTGGTGTATACACCTCCAAGGTCTTGGAAGACTTCCCTCCCTTGCACCCAATCCCTGCATCTCCTGTCAAAGATCCTTTGAAAGGATTAATATCTATACCTTGAATACCAAAAATAGAAAGCAATGTTCCCTCTGAAATTGACTTCAATAAAGGAAGACATTTTATATTTTATACAAAAAAGCTCATATTGTAGACTACTGCCTCAGTTTAAAATTTTTAAATAATATAGGATCATTTGGGGAAGAAATGATTTCTAGAAATAGCAGTTTTAGATGGTTACAGAGATTACTTCATGGAACAGGTTAAAAAAAGAGTCTAAAGTTGAATATAGATTTACTAATTATTCTTAGAGTTGTGAACTCACAATTACAAATGTCATTGTAGACAGGTTTTTTCAAATTTAGAAAGGAATATGGCAAGGAGGGTCCTTTATGGAGATATGGCATCCAGATGACTATAGATGGAATGAAAAAAGGACATTCCAGGCATTACATGAATGTGTAGTTGTAATTTGGTTTAAAATTTCCATGATATGCTGATTAAAATACTGCATCATATATGGATTCAAAAAGTGCTATGTCTCAAACTACTGTACTGAGATGGTGGTCAGAAGACCTGCTCTGGAAAACTCTTAGGTGATGCAAAAATTGTCTGAGGATGCATGTGAAGGGCTGGAATGAAGTTGTTTTAATACATGGGAATGGAAATAGACAGTATTCCAAGGTTGAGAGATTATTTTATATGTGGTTTTAAAATATGTCTATATAAGTAAATAAATATTACATATACACTGTAGATTATGTCACCAATATTTCTAGAGGTTTATATTTTCATCTTCCCTTTTCTGGTTCATCTTGGAAACTGGGTGTTGGCACATCCTATCTGGGTGCTGGTGGTACTTTAAAATGATTCGTTTAAAATGATGCTTTCATGTTTACCTTGAACCATGGTGTAGAAAGAATCGATCGAGGACAGATTTGAAGTGATGCTGACATCTTCTTCTCGACTAGATGACTCGATGTCCACTGTGATGGCCTTGTCCATGTCCCCATGCAGGTTGGTGACCACTCCAGTGGGAAACGTGACGTTTGTCAGACGACCTTCACTGTCATAGCTAAATACAAGGGGCATTAACTTGGTGTTAAATAGGAAACTGCAGTTTCTTCTGACTTATAAATACAATGTGTAGCAATATTAGTTGCACAAATTTGGAGGAGTATTTGTCTTTGTGAGTGAGCTATGCAGAGTGAGGACTTCAAACATGCTTTGAAGTAATCAAAAACCTGTTTAACATAGAAAAACCTCACCGGTGAGAACACGAGTAAACAGACCAGCTCTCCATCTCAACACATGATTCTTTGAAGTGTGACCAAAATCCTCCTGCACATCTAATTTGCTGTTTCAAAGGGAACATGTTTGCTGATATTAAATTCCTTAGTATTCCTTCATATTTTCTACAGAGTAGATTTAATTCACTGTTACATCGGTTCTTAAAGATTTACTGACTTACTCCCTCGGTGGCAGTACAGTACAGTATGTTTACGTGCATGTATGTATTTGCATATGTAAAAAATCCTTTTAGTATCTTCAAACATCCTCAACAAATTAATAAAGTAAGAACCTTTTAAAGACTATTTCTCAGTGATTGACATACTTCATAATGGTAAATTAGAGCTTGAATGCTGGCAGTGGTGATGACAACCCATTTTGTCTACAGTGATATTGCAAGAATGGGGGATATCTTGCATGACGATTTACTGTGTTCACTGAAATGAGATGCAATCTTTCCTGACATTTAATGATTATTTGTTTTTTATTACACGCTTACTCTTTTTAGCAGACAAATACAAGAGGAACTTATAATTTGAGTGTTAAAATACATTTTTAAAAGCTGTTCTGTGCTCATAAATATGCATCACAGAAGCAACATTTGACTGAAGAATTGAATTTCTGTGACTTTTATATTTGTGGCAGCACCAGAGAAAATTTCAAAAATGACAGTGTCGTCTGAAGAAAGAAAAAAAAATGCAAAATTCTGGATGAGAAATTAGGGGTTTCCTGGGGACCACAATACACTAAAGGATTTCAGATTGATTCTAAGACTCCTTCACTAACTGAAAGTTCCCAGTGAGATGGAGACCTGAATCAACATCCTCCTTAAAATAAGCCCAGACACAGAACTAACAGAGAAACAACACTGTTAGAGAAAGACAGGTTACCAGGGGAGGAACAGAGTGACAGGGGATCACAATCATAGGTGAAAACATGGGGCAACACAGGAGTGACGTGTAAAAAAGGTACTTAGGTGATATTTTGGAATAAAGGGATAGAGAAGTGTTTTTTTTCTTTCCTTTTTTTTTTTTTTTTCCCAATTTCACTTGTTTATGAAATAGGGAGTTTTTAGTGAAACATTCATTTTGAAAAATGTGATTGGTCATTAGGAGAAGATTCTAGGTGAAAAAGAGAAGACTCCGCCAGGACAATGTTATGGTAGAAAGAGGGAAGAAAGAGAGGAGGAAGGCGAGGGACAGAGGTCTGTTCAGTGCCAGGTGATGAACTGATCCTATTAATTCCGTGGGGACAGTATCGGTCAGATCATGGGTTTGACTGACGTGATCTGACAACCTGCCACGCTGCTCAGCCAGCGGCAGGAACGGGCACTCAGGAGGGAGAAGCCAGGGATGGAGACGCAGAGGAAGCAAATGCACCATTAAGTGCAATCATTGTTCAGACTCACAAAAGGCAGAGCTGAAGATGTCCTCCCCGCCAACCCAAATGCCCCTAGCAAAGGAAGGCATAAATGAAAGAAATCCAACAGAGTTTATTGCTGTCATCACTTTTTTGAAGAAATTACTGCTCTTGAAGAAACAAACATGCACTGGTTTATTTATGGAGCAAGCAGCGCAGAGTTACAGAATTATTGACAAAACCAGCCTAAAGTTCTGTCGTTACATTTGGTATAAGTCTTGCAGCACATTACACATCTCATAGTATGATGTGAAGAACGTGCTATTGGGTTAAAAAAAATAACGCTCTTTTGAATGCCTCTACACAGGAGAATTCTGTATTGTACTATTTTCCCCCCTTTCGGAGATGGAAAATGAAAATATGAGGCGGGTAGCTGACTTGATCTGGCTCTCACTCTGTCTCTTGACTGGACCGTCAATGGAACTTTTGTGCAGCTGACCCCAGGCCCATTAGCCCTCCTGCAGATCACAGTGCCTGATTTAAAGCTGGGAACTCTGGCTGTATATAGATGGCACCGCCTGCAAGCAGCTTGCTGATTCATTCTCCTCTGCCCTTTTTTGACCCTTTTGCTGGTTTATATTTTCTAGCCTCATTCAATCTGAAGCAGAGACTTCACCTTTCTCCTGTAGAAAGCATTTCTGCAACCTCTAACTTTGCTATTTCATTGGCTTTGCCACACGTTCCGTTCCCTGCTGGGCAGGCATTCTGTATCACAGGACCCTGCGCGCAGGGAGATACAGCCCAGGAAGCCGAGCGTTCAGACTCTCACCTATTAGCCTTTGGTTCTTTGGGAAATAAATATACAAGTAACCTTTGCAGGTAGTACAGTTAGAATGACAGAGGGTTAAGCTGGGATCTTAGTGGCCCAGCTTAACAGGTTAGCCCTGGAAGTTCTGAATTTGTGCCTTCCAAGGAGTAGTTGAACCTAAGTGCAGGCACTAACAGGGCTGAAGTGTTTGCACAAGGAAGGCTGCTCCGGTGTCAGGGTCCTCAGAGCTCCTATGTAACCCGGCACCCAACAGTTTCAGAACAGCCTTTCTGTGCGAGCTAAAGTATGAGGATATTGTGAAAACAAAGAGAAGTCTGGGTGAGCAGAGGTCACATACGTGACAATTTAACTATGAAAAATGAGGGTCCTGTGAGGCTACCGTTCACCAGAGTGAGCAGAAGGGGAGATGTGTTCATGCTGGCTTAGCTGGGGAAGAGCTGCACCCAGGTGGGGACCAGGCCAGGCCCCAGAACAGACGTGGGATCAGGCAGTCGGCGGGGGGCCCGGGTGGGGCTAGGAGGGCTGCGGAGGAAGGTGTCAGGGGGTGCAGGGGCCCGGCTGAGGCACAGTAGGCAGCACAGAGTCATACTGGAAGGGAGCCTTGGGTGGATCTCCTCACTGGAGAACATGAGGTGCTGAAGAAGGTTTAAAGGAAGCGAGGTTTTCATGAGGAACCTAAGGTGGGGGTGAGAGTGGCTCCCTGACTTGCCAATTTTACAAACCACGAAAAAAAATCAGGGATCAACACAGGGTTTTTAAATTAAAAACTACTACCTGTTACTCCCATCGTTTCATAAATAAGGCCATTTAAACATATCACAGAGAGGCGGGACCTACCTTCAGGGTGAGTACTTTCAAAAGAACTGTTTATTATTATTATTATTTTTTGTGAGACAAGTCTCACTCTGTTGCCCAGGGTGGAATGCAGTGACACTTGGCTCACTGCAACCTCTGCCTCTCGGGTCCAAGCAATCCTCCTCCCTCAGCCTCCCAAGTAGCTGGGATTACAGGCCCCCGCCACCACGCCCAGGTCATTTTGTATTTTTAGTAGATAAGGGATTTCGCCATATTGGTCAGGCTAGTCTTAAACTCCTGACCTCAGGTGATCCACCCGCCTTGGCCTCCCAAAGTATTGCGATTACAGGAGGGAGCCACCACACCCGGCCAAAAGGACTGTTCTTTATTTACGTATATATTTATTTATTTTTTTTGAGACAGAGTCTTGTGCTGTTGCCCAGGCTAGAGTGCAGTGGCACGATCTTGGCTCACTGCAACCTCTGCCTCCAAGGTTTAAGTGATTCTCCTGCCTCAGCTTCCAGAGTAACTGGGATTACAGGCGCCCACCACTGTGGTAAGTTTTTTTCGTTTTTGTATTTTTAGTAGAGACGGGTTTCACCATCTTGGCCAGGCTGGTCTCAAACTCCCTACCTCGTGATCCACCCGCCTCGGCCTCCCAAAGTGCTGGGATTATAGGCACGAGCCACCGCACCCGGCCTAGGACTGTTCTTTAAAAGCAATGAATAAAGCTTTCTAAAACATTCTCCACATCATTTTTTTTTTCCTTTCAGTGTGGATGAGTAAAAACTTTTTCACAGATTAGCACCTATGTCAACAGAAATGAAAACAAGACAAAGGAAAGACATTAAAAAAGCGACCCGGGGACTCTGACTAAGGGAGTGAAAGAAAGTAAGTCTTCCAAGACGACTGGCAGGTGCTCCCATAAGCATCAGGCTAACTCTTCCTTAGCTTGGCGAAGGGAAACCAGTGCACCAACGAATGGCCGCCTAGCCTCTGAATCGCCCTGACTCCAGGTCTTCAAAAGCCCTTTCCAACTACTAGATATGCCTCTGGGCAGATTCTCTGCTTATTTGCAACTGTGTGGCTCAACTGAATGTTGCTTGGCCTTAGTGGTGAACTAACCCTGCCCAGCTTGTAGATTTGAGAGGCAGTTTTCTTTTATTAGCTTTTTGAATGTACAATGCAATAGGCTCCAGGGAATTTGAATAGTACATCAACTTCATGCCCTCCATTGCATTCCTCTGGCCTTAGCCTCATGGTTTCAAATTCCTAACACACAGCACATGCCATCCTGCTCCTGCCTGGCCCCCCTTTACAAAGGACTCTCGCTGGAAAGGACAGATGTCCTCAGGCTCTCCGTGACCTACCGCGCTTTCACTGATGGGATGCCCTTATCTGAGGTTTATCTACTTGTTCGTCTTTAATTTGGATTGCATGTTTGCCTAGACTTGCTGTTTTAGTTTTTGTGGTATATTTTTAAGTTTCCTAAGTAATGGGATTATCGACAAACGCCTCAGAGAATAGCAGCCTCAGTCATTCTCAGCTGAGAATGCTACATTCAACCTGACATGACATTTTCCTTCTCTCTGCCCCTTGCAGATGTGAAGCTCCTAACGTTTTCCTTTTGCTTGGTAATGTCTCTCAGATATTTATCTTTCTATTCCCAGAGCTGCCCTAGACTTTTAAAATGGGTCTATCTGCCTCTTCCCATATGCACTGATACCAAATCAATCTTTTGAAACACCATGATTATAATACCTTTCTACTTAAACATCTTCAGTAGATGCTCAACAGAGAGTAAAATCAACTGATTTGGACTGTTACCAACCCAATATCAACAGCCTATTGATACTGCAAATTTCTTCACGTGGAAACCATTTGCAGTTCTCGAAAACTTTCTTTACAACTTGACAACGGGAATATTTATCGTCTTCCCCATAAAATGGCTTCTTCAAAGGTTATGTTTTTAAAATTATCTTCTGCTTTTGAGAAAAATATGTGTCAATGAGAGCACAGCTTTAGAGCAGCGCCTACGCCGGGGCAGAGAAGTCATTCTAACTCTGGGGGCGGGCTAGTCTGCGGAGTGATGTGCTCTTTGTCCCTTCTGTGGAGTGTTGGTCCGGAATTCAGCCTGACCCTGAGGTGGCCTGACTCAAAGACGAGACCAGCCTATGTCGTTACATATATACTGGCGGCAATGCCCTCCCCACACCTCTGTCATTTTCACCTAGGGAAGCCGGAATGAGAGGCAGTGAAATGTGACTGCTTTCTCTGGTCAAAACCAAGCCTGTTCTGGGCAGGCAAGACAGCAGCAGATATTGGTTTGGGCTCATTCAGAAAGCCTCCAGATGGGATAAATGTTCAAGTTTCCTTATGAGTGGGCCTTCCCCGGGATCTTCCTCAGGGCCATCCCAGAACTAGCCTGCTTTCAGAGCTGCTTAGTGGGTTCCATGGGTTTGCTTTCAGACTTGGATCCCAGTAAGAACTCACATGAAGGACTTAATTAACCCATCTTTCTCCCACTCTCACTATAATGTATATGTGTGTGATGTGTATATGTAGTATGTGTAGTGTACGTGTGTGTATAATACACACACACACCCCCACAAACGCACACACACACACTTTACACAGAGGGAGAATCTAATAGAGTTGCTTAGGTTCAAATTTCCTTCCATAGTTTAACAGCCAACAACAACAAAAACAAACAATCCCTCCATCTTGTCACCAGTAACCACAGTGCTTTTCCCACAACGCTAATTTGTAACAGCCTCTTATCTGTTGTTGAGGTAAAGTGGAACACAATGACTAACCCTGTCATGACTAAGCATGTAGGCATAAATCACTCCTGGATCCTCCTTCCTGAGGAGGGACATGTGCACAAACAGCGAACGTGGAACGGCGGGCTGATGCGGAATCTTAATGGCAATAATGTGATTTGCGACAGCAACATCAAAAGATTTTACATGTAAGTCTTCTGAGAAGGAACCTGTGGTTTATGTATTTTAACCATTATCTCATAGACAAATCGTAATTTGTAGCAAGGTAGTAAGAAATCCTCAAAAATCAGGTTCTGGATAGAAAATGCTTCTATCACCAAGGGAAGTAGAGCAGTCGCCTACGCCACATCATGGCACCACCTGATTCTCCGCTGCCTGCTACCTACCTGTCATCAAAAATGGCAGGGAAAATGCGAAAGAAGAAAAAGACAGTATTACTTTACGTGAGTCTGGTCTCGGGGCTAAGGGGGTCCTGATGAGAAAGGGGTGAGAATTGTATGGGGTGGGGGTGGGTAACCCCAATGTGGATTTCTTTGTTGCTGCTGCATTTAATTAGGAGGTCTGGCTGATGGGGTGAACTCTGACCCGTGCTTTGCTCCATAAAACCAGAAAGGGTAGCAGTCTGCAGTCAAGCTGCTATTCTTTTTTTTTTTTTTTTTCAAACACCCCAGCTAACATGAGTTCAGAGGCATGTAGACAAGGGCAGAGCCTCCCCCACTCCTCTCTGGTCCAGCCCTTTTGAACACTGAGCATAGTGATAGATGGTCACAGAAATGACATTTTCTTCAAGGATCAAATTCAAAAATAGTGACCCAATGCCTCTTTCCTTTCATAGTCATTACCACATCATGGAGAACTGACAAAGTGGTAACGCTCAGCGCTGAAATTCGCAGGCCTTGAGACAAAGGCATCCAAGTCAGGGCATTCCAGAATTAGTTCCCGTAGGGATTCGAAGGATTCTGGGTTAGCCATCATTAAGAGAAGAATCATGTTTAAGCCAGTCTTTTTTTTTTTTTCTTTTTTAAATTGTTTATTGAGTGAGGAAGGCTGACATGGGTAGGATACGCTTATTTGTTTAGCAATCCGGTCTTGAAATGGAGACCTCCTAGACGGCTGATGGCAAGGAAAATTTTTGCTCCAAAGAATCTGTAAAGCAGAACTGTGCATGCCCTCATCCTCCTGGATTTATTCCATGGGTCTGGAAGTGCTCAGAGGAAAAACTCCTCCTTCTCTTTTGTTCTCCTTGTATCCTGGTGCTTGTTCAGCCGTACATAGACCCACACCCTGGCAGTGAGCGAGGACAAGGAGGGCTGTGGGAAGCTTCTAGTAAGTGGGAAAGATTTTTAAAAAGTAGGTGCCCATTTGGAAAGAGAAAATTCTATTTGTTTACTATAAATTGCTATTTCTACCACCAACATTAACACATAAGATACTAGTGTGACTGAGATGCAATATGCATAACTGTTTTAGCAGAGGGAACATGGTAATTTTTGTCAAGTGCTGTTTCTTTTGGAATACACCTTGATAGGGGCCTATAAGAAGGTGGAAAGAAATGGTAGAATCACATATTTTCTTTTGAATAGGAAGTGATTTTTAATTACTAAGGAGTCTTTTATGTTACAGGTGAGGACAAGAAAATCCAGAGAGGTGCTCTGACTCTCCCAGTCATGCAGTTAGGAGTAAGCAACACAATCGGGACGGGAACCCAGGTTTCTAGTTTCATCTTATGAGTGTCAACGACTTGGAAAACGGAGGTGAGTAAAGAGGAAGGGGAAGGAAAAAGAGTCTAAGATGAGACAATATGGAGACTAAGATGTTACCTACCCACAAGCTTTAAGAGAGAACATGAACATTGTGCAAAGTGCAAGAAGTAAGGGGAGGCAACGGAATGACCACATTTGGGCAGTTAAGGAGCAAAACGGAGCAAAGAAAGAAGATCAAATACAGAAAGTGATTGAAAATACAAGGGAAGATACAGATTGGAAGATTTCAAAAAATGAGGGACAGAGCATCCAGCAGGAGAAAGTGGATCCTTGAGTATTAACACAGTTGTTGTCTTTTATTATGAAGCCACAGGAAACTCCAGTCTGTAAACTCACATATTTACACCTTTTTTTTCCACTTGTACCCAGATCTTCTACGCTCCCTTTCAATATGATGTGATTCACGCTCATAGCTTCGGCTCTCTCAATAGCTCTCATGTCCACATATTTGGAACTGTCCTCTCCTAAGTTCCAATCAGACATTTTTTTTTAAATCACATGCTAGACTGTGCTACGGTACTCTCAAAGTCATAATTTACAAATCTGAACTCATCTTTTGTTGATCAATGCACAATTCTTCCCTGTATCTCCATATCCGCTAGTCACCTAAGTTGGGAAAACAGAAACTCATCCTTGATCCCCTTTCTCCCTTACCTCTTACATTCAGACAGCAAGTTACATTTCATTTCCTAATGAGCTGACTGACCTAAACTGCCTCCTAACTTTCCTTTCCTAACCTACTTTTCTATCTTAAATCTATCCTTACATTGTCACCAGACTGGCTGTATTGCTGTCCCCGTTAAACTCCTTGAATAGAGATCCGCCTACCCCGGAGGGAAGATCCACCACAGTCCAGCTCTTAGCCGTGCAAGCTCTGCTTGGGCAGAGGCAGTATCTCCTTCCCTGGTTTCATCTCCCTCCTCCCCACACACATTCGATGCTCCTGTCATTCTGAGCTGTGTGTTCTTTCCAAAGCCTGGCACGTTCTGCTCCTGGGTAAATGCTTTCCTCTGGCCTAGAAGTCTTTTTCTCTCTCTTCTGGGTAGCCTTTATTCACAACTTGCAACACTGATCTTAAAAATTACCTCCCTTGGTAAGTTTTTCTTGCCACATCCTGTCCCCAATTCTCAATCGGATTTAGATGCTCTTCCTCTGCACTTGCACGGCCTGTCGAACAACTATCTTAGCACTTACCCTTCTTATCACTGTTTACTTGTCTTTCTCTCCCAGTGGACTCTGAGCTCCTTGAAAGCAGGGAATGTGTCATCTAGCTCTGCATTCTCCAGCACCTAAGGCCAGTACCTGGCACATAATAAATTCCTATTGAATGAATGAGCGCATGAGTGAATAAATGAAAACCAGGAAATTAGGGGCTAAATAGGAAATGCTTGATGATCAAAAAGCACAGAAAACTTCCCACCTTATCAAAGCCTAAGAGTCTTGAAATAATTTAATAATTTGTCAATCTGTTTGCTTTTGCAATGTAGCACGGAAAAGGCTTTCATTTTCTTTTAGGTGGCATAGCTGCTTTTGGAAACGGTGCCTCTCAGAGGCTCATGTTGCCTGGACCAGTCCCATACGGGATTAACTATGCTTGTGGTTAATTGTTGTGTTAAGGAGAATGAGGTACACTTTAAAAATTAAGTGAAAAAACTAGAAATCTTTATTAAATTAGTAATGGGTGAATGAACTAATCTTTCATTGGATATGCATACACAGATGAACATGAAGATAAATTCCTGGGCATAACCTTTCTCACTAGCTCTAAATTATAAATAACCACTGCATAAACCCATTCTGACCTTCCTTGAGGGTTTAAAGGTTTGAGGTTTAGTCATCCTGAATATTTTTTGACTTCTCTAGGAATAGTCGGATGCATTTAGATACTCACATTGTGCTCCTCCAGATATAACATTCCTGTAACCTTTCTTTTATTACTTTAACGCTAACTGACCTAGCTTAAAAACATCATCCTCTATAAATCAGTACTTTCTTCTAATTTTGGCAAGGCTTATGCTTGCCTTTATTAGAACTTGGTTCCATCGTTTCTTTCTTTCTTTTTTTTTTTTTTTTTTGAGACAGAGTCTCGCTCTGTTGCCCAGGCTGGAGTGCAGTGGCATGATCTTGGCTCACTGCAAGCTCCACCTCCTGGGTTCAGGCCATTCTCTTGTCTCAGCCTCCCGAGTAGCTGGGACTACAGGCGCCTGCCACCATGCCCGGCTGATTTTTTGTATTTTTAGTAGAGACGGGGTTTCACCGTGTTAGCCAGGATGGTCTCGATCTCCTGACCTCGTGATCCGCCCACCTCGGCCTACCAAAGTGCTGGGATTACAGGCATGAGCCACTGTGCCTAGCCCCATCTTTTCTTTTCTAGAGTTTGAAACAGAATGAGGTCTTTCTTCTAGCTGATGCTTGACTTACATTCATTAAATGCTTAATCAATTAACGACTTTAAAATACACTAAGTTTTTCAGCCTTTGCTTTTTATACACTGTTTTTTATTAAAAAGCCCAGTCATGGGAAAATCTAAAGTTATATCAGACCTACACTCTTAAAATACACTTAAAGAGAACAAAAAGTAGTTTTTAGAAAGCTCTACAAAGGAGTATTTCTTTACATCAATATTTTCAGAAGTTGTGGGGGTCTCTCTTGAAGAACCATAGATTCACCAAACTTTGGGATGAACTTGAAGTCTAGGAAATCTTTTTTGAAGTGTGTCAGTATGTGTGTTTACAAGAAGTGGCAGTGGTGATGATGGGGTGGGGAAGGACAGTGTTGCTAAGTGAGGGATTAGAGTGACTTGAAGCATGTGGATCGTATCCCCAACCATCCTATCTCCTTCATAGACTGCCTTCCCCAACCTGGACAGCGCTCCAAAGAGTAGTGCAGTGTCCACGCTGGTTCTGCGTTTGCAACCTCAAGATATTCTGACACCACTCTAGGATCCTGAAACACAGGCCAAGGACTTTCTCTGTGTTGAACACCTTCCTGGGAGGCTAAGGAGTTACAGAATCCAGGAGTGAGAGCTGCTGGCATTGATTTTATTTTGATGTCAGAGGAATGAGCCACAGATGCTGGAAAGTCTCTAGAAAACACCCAATTGTCAATCTTCAGTTCTGTGATTGTAAAACATGAAATGTTCTCTTGCAATCATCGTCCATGTGTACACTTCTTGCTTTATTATCAATCATTTTAAATGGCTGGTGTACACAGCTTAGTGTTAGGGTAAATCACCTGATAATCACTGTGTAAGGGAAGCTGATGATGCACACGGATATGAGGCCATCAAATCATCTGTCTAATCTAGACAGTTGCATAATGAGTTTAAAGAGGAAACTGGACACTTGTGGAGGCTGCATTTACTCTAGAGCCATTATGGAACAAGTTAGCACATGTGGAACATTGATTTGCCAGATGGAACGCCCTGAAAGAGTTAATTCAACCTTGCAACTATCAACACACTCCAGGGACACAGCTGATGAACTGAGAATATCTGACTTATTTTTTGTGTAATTTTTTGAGTAATCTGAATAACGTACTATTTCCCCAGTTCCTTGTCTCCTTTGAAACCTGGGCAGAACTAACGGTTTTTAAAAACTACACTGCTGAAGGGAACTGGAATAGATCAAGTATTAATAAAAGTATTGCCTTAATAGTGTTCGGGTTAATGCTTGAAATGTCCAGCAGCCACTTTAGAAATTTGCCTATGCATTTTTTTTTATTGATGTCCCTGGAAATACATGTTTTGGTTAATAATTTAAAGCAAATTTAGTAAGCAATTAAACAAAACAGCAAAAATAGAAATAAACTATTCTACTAAATCAAATATTTAAAATTCTATCAATTTTCCCATGATTTTAAGTGATCTGCTGATAAAATCTCTTACAAATCATTCTTAAACTCCTAAATGTTTTCTTCCATGAAGAGAGAAAAAGGAAAAGGAAAATAAAGCAGGTGGCTGAGCACCATTTTTATGTGTGTGGATGAGTGTGTGTATAAGTGTGTGTATGTGTGTAAGTGTGTGTGTATAAGTGTGTGTGTATCTATAAAGTGGGCTGCTCAGTTTTTAATGCAGTTTTTGGCAGAAATAACAATGATGCATGGTTTCAGTGTTTGAGTTTTTAGGGCTGGATGGCAAATGCCTGTCAAAGGAAAGGATATCCTCTCAGTTTTGTCCTGTGGAAGACACCTGTATAATTCTTCTTCTTCTTCTTTTTTTTTTTTTTTGGAGATGGAGCCTCCCTCTTTTCACCCAGGCTGGAGTGCAGTGGCCTGATCTTGGCTCACTGCAACCTCCGCCTCCTGGGTTCAAGCGATTCTCGTGCCTCAGCCTCCTGAGTAGCTGCGATTACGGGCGAGCGACACCACGCCCGGCTAATTTTTATATTTCTAGTAGAGACAGGGTTTCACCATGTTGGCCAGGCTGGTCTCGAACTCCTGACCTCATGTGATCCGCCCGCCTCAGCCTCCCAGAGTGCTGGGATTACAGGCGTGAGCCACCGCGCCCAGCTGATACCTCTATAGTTCTTCTAACATTAGAAGCGATTACCGTGGTCACTTCTGTAAGGAGAACACAGCATGCCACCGCAGCCAGGCTGTTTAAACAGGATTCAGTGTCAACAAGAATGGGCATATCTTTTCTAATTAATGATATCTTTTCTAATTAATGAATAATTATCATTGCGTTTTCCTGCGTTATTTGTGCTTTTGGTATACAATTTTGAACTTGAAATAGGCTTAGGTGTAGCACATGCACTGTTCACACCGCCTGTCTTTCCTCTTTGGGGATCCCTTCTCTGAGGCACTCCTACAGCATGAGAACGGAGGCGTGCGTTTGCCATGGGCACTGAGTTAAGTTCATTAAAAAGAAATGGTTCAGAAGCTCATTCTGAAATTGCAAAGCTTGAATGAGGGACAATAAACCCCCCAAATGAGAAGCCGGAGACCCATATATACCTACATAAATGTGTAAAAGCTGAAACTCATTGATT